AGAGAGAGAGAGAGAGAGAGAGAGAGAGAGAGACAGAGAGAGAGAGAGAGACAGAGAGAGAGAGAGAGAGGAAGGCAGGGGCCAGGGGAGAGGATCGATTGGTTTTGCAGCTGTTTTGTTCTTTGATTTTTTTTTCTCTTACATTGAATATCATTTTGCCCGATGGACCCTGGATCAGATACACTGCTCAGAACAGATCCTACACTTGATCTTGCCCAAACGGTCGAAAAACCTTTCGTTCATCCATTTTTTGTTGGATGCTTCCCTTCGCCTTTGCTGTATTTAACTCTTGATCGATCGTTTTCCTTCATTTTTGGTGTGTTCAAGTCTTCTTTCTAGAAAAGTGGTAATACTTGAAGTCCGATTCCAACTGCTGAATTCCAGAGCGTTCACAAATCTGAACAGCGTCTTATGTTTCCAAGTAGGTCAATGCATGCATAATGGTTTCTTTTTACCGTTTTCGACCTCCTGGTTTGGTTTAGAAACTTACGCGCTTTCCAGGATGCATTTCTGCCTAGTATTGTACGATTTCGACCTTCTTTTGTTTTGCATTGCTTCTCTGTTTGCTATACTATTCAACCTTCAATGCCTCATTTATTGAAAGCACGACAACCTGTTTGACCATCCTTCGGATTTCTTTCTGAAAAGAACAGGTTATTCCGATTTGGTCATTTGAAGGAGCAGTGGCAGTTTGAACATATTAGAGAAATTTAAAGCATTGCTTAGTGCCCAATGAGAACACTGCAAGAATCGAGCTCAAAGTTTAAAAGATCTGCAAAGAAAATGAGTGTCCCTGACATGTTTCCATCACAGTGGAGGGACTGGGATGAGTGTTCCTGACATGTCTCCATTGCAGTGGAGGGACGGGGATCCCCTCCGCTGTGATGGAGACATGTCGGGAACATTCATTTCTTTGTCTGCATCTTTCAAACTTCGAATTCGATTCTTGCAGTGTCGGTCACTGACCAATGCTTCAAAATCCAAAACGTTCTGATATGCTTCAAAATTCAAAACTGCCGCTGCTCCTTTGTGAATCCATACATCCTTGAAACACCTCCCTCCTAATCGTTAATCGCCGTTCCCTACTCCTCACTGCCCCTTGACCACATCCTCTCTTTAAACAGTACTGTTGCCAGTCCAGCCCTGTGTCACCAGCTCAGTGTTCCTACGATCCCTTCCCCTGCACAACGTCATGATTACCCACTTTCCTCATCTCGAGACCTGCCCAATTCCATAGGATGCCTTTGTTCTGCTTTACCGCCGACTCTGTGTTCAAAACAGACTCCATGATTGATGCAGGTCTCCACTTATCTGTTCCTATACCCCTTCCACATGCAGGAGGAGCTGCGCTAGTCTTTCTTCTTCTTCTTCTTCTTCTTCTTCTTTTTCTTCTATAGCCCTACTGTGTCCTTACTGTAATCGTTGTTGATTTGGTTCCTTTGATTTTTGCCAACAGGACGTGCACTGAATCCGAGAGGCAATTCACATGCCGAATGGTGGAGTATGCAAAAGAGTCGAGTGCTGATGCTGACAAGGTGAACGAAGGGCTTCTCAGTGCTGTTTATGGTAAGTGAGAAGGGACATGATTCCACAAAAGACCTCGGCCTATTGTTGGAAATCGCACTTTGTCAGGCACTGAGAGAACGAGAATGATTTTGCTTCATAGTTGCGGCGCACCGTGCACCGTGCCCGCACCAGTGCGCGATGCGTGCGCATGCACAGTGCGCCGGTGCGCTGGTGGGTGCTCGCAGCGCGTGCACCTGTGCACATGGTGCGTTCAGCAATTTATTCAACAGCGCCCAAGCCCACAAACTGTCCTTCCCCCCCCCCCAATTCCACCCCTCACTTTCAGCAGCAACTACCCGAATAAGGCACTCACTCCAACTGCAAGCCCGTGAGAAAAAAAATAAAAAATAAAATAAAAATAAAAATAATAACGAGGAGAAAAGAGAGAAGTGGGGACGGCATAGGTAGTGGACATGGAGGAGGGAGAGAATTGGAGATGGCAGACGGAGTGAGGATGGGAGAAGGATGATAAATGAGTGAGGAATGAGGCGATCCATGACGAGGGAGGAATGAGGAAAGCGAGAGGGAGGATAGCAATGACGAGGTGTGGGGTTTGGGGGTGGAGGAGAATGATGACGAAGGAGGGGTGAGGAGGAATGAAAACGACAACGATGGAGGAACGAGGTGGAGGAGAACGATGACGAGGGACATCCGATTCGAACAGGAAAAAAAATGAGATGGAAGACGGACTGAGGAGGAATGGAGGAAAGACGAGGGAGGGGGGTAGAGAAAGATGAAGACAAGCACGATGACAAGCGAGGGAGGAGGGAGGAATAGGAGGATAACGATGATGAGGGAGAAGGGGGAAGGGAGGAGGGAGGAGGGAGGAGGAGACCGATGATGAAGGGGGGAGGGGGAGGACAATGGCGGAGGGAGGAGGCGAGAAATGACGATGGAGAACTGAGGAGGAGAATGACGGGGAGGGTAATCAGACTTCGAAAAAAAACTCAAAAAAAATGGGGAAAGACGATGGACGAGGGATGGACGCGGAGAGACGAGGGAGGAGGGACGAGGGACGAGGGTGGAGAACGTCGACAAGCGGGGAGGGAAGAGAACGATGACGAATGGGGGAGGAAGAGGGAGGATAATGATGACTACCGTCTTCACCCGAATGGAACGCCCGGTCATTATAGCTGTATTTGGCACAACTTGCGGTCCAGATGCAGCGATAATGACCGGGCGTTCTATTCGGGTGAAGACGGTAGGAAGGAACGAGGAGGAGAGGAATGATGACGAGGGAGAAATGAGGAGCTGCACAGTTTCCATGGGGGGAGGGGCGTCTTTGCGGGTTATCCTGGGTCTTGTGGGTCAGGTGACCCAGGCCAAATACTCACCCACCTGTCACCCACCTGTCGCCCACCCAGTCGGGTGACCCAGGCCAACCACTGACCCGCTCATCACCCACCCAGGCCAAACGCTCTCCCACATGTGACCCACGGTCGGGTGACCCAGGCCAAACGCTTGCCCACATGTGACCCACGCAGTCGGGTGACCCAGGCCAAACTCTGACCCGCCCATCACCCATCCAGGACAGCTTAGCTCGACCCACTCACATGCACCCCAGGACCAGGCCTGACCCATCTGCTTGTGGGTGGTCGGGTGGGTGTGGGTGAGAGTGGGTCTGGGTTCCTTTCGTGCAGATGTAGTGCTCTCGTTTTTTGTTTTTGTTGTTTTGAATGATCCTCTGCTGGTTGACCTACAGATACCTTCCTCTAAATTATAAGGTTTAATTAAGTTCTCCCAGCGTCGGCGGGATCACCGCGTTCCGGAGACTTCACCGAACACATTCAATCAGCTTAGCTCGACCCACTCACATGCACCCCAGGACCAGGCCTGACCCATCTGCTTGTGGGTGGTCGGGTGGGTGTGACCCTCTGCTGGTTGACCTACAGATACCTTCCTCTAAATTATAAGGTTCAATGAAGTTCTCCCAGCGTCGGCGGGATCACCGCGTTCCGGAGACTTCACCGAACACATTCAATCAGCAGGAGGGACGGGTGGTGTGGACAAAGGGCAGGGATGTAATCACAGCGAGCGATGTCAGAGACATTATTCATTAGTGTCACACATTGCCATACAATGCAGAACTGGCTTTCGATCTGTGTTTGAGCTGTGCTCAAGTGTCCACATCTGCAGAGTGAGTATCCTACGTTTTTGGTTACCATTTAAGACGGTTGTGTTATGCAACTGTTAAACCCGCTGAATGATGTTCATCACATTGTGCATTTGTCTGTGTACCTGTGCAGAGGGTCATTCTAGAGACCAGGAGATGGCCAAGGAAGTCCAGGCTGGCCTGGAAGATGGGCACCAAGCAGCAGACTGTTTCTCAGACAACCACACTCACCATGTTGCTGAGCTGAAGACCTCTGTGGAAAGCTTCTTCGAACGTGAGATCCAGGTAAATGTTTACTTTTCTTCTGTCTGTGAAATGCTACGGATAACCAGGGTACTTAATGCAATGGAAGTCAGGAACAAATTGGAAAATTTTGATTGTTAGAGAAAATATGTCCACCTAAAAGTCAATAAGCTGATATATTATCCAAATTTAAGGAAATGTGCAACACATAAGTGAGGTCTGAGTACAAAAGTCACCAATACTGTCTTATACAACTGATTTTGTCCGCATGTGTGTGTGTGTGTGTGTGTGTGTGTGTGTGTGTGTGTGTGTGTGTGTGTGTGTGTG